ATAAATATTAAATATTAATGATTTTATTAATGACATTTAAATAATATTATTAAAAGGAATAATTTATATACATGTTGAAAATTTTCATTTGTTGGCTACGTCATTGTGCCGGTACTTTGTGAAACATCAACTTTACCTAATAAGGACAATACAAGTCCAATTCATTTTTACGTAAAACCTTTTAAAGAGAATTCTTTCTCCATAGATTTGTACCGTTTTATTAGACTTCATTTGATTCTGATCAATCAATTATGATAAATGATCGTGAATTTGCACGTGAGAATAAATATATATACGTACATTTTCATGGTGCCCTTCGGACCGAGATTCGTTTTCATAACATCTTGGATTCCTTTCGCCGCGGAAATAATCACAGCTAACGCTTGGGCAGCCCTCGCGAATTCAGCTTTCGGATTCAACAAACTGATCGCAGCCATTTCGTAAAATTACAATTTCTCACTTCAGAAAGTATCAAAACGTTTCAGCACGTTCAAGCACGTTACTCCTGGTTACTTCCCGCAAATGGCTTCCAATGGCTTCAACCACCGACTAGGTATAGAATAGACCTATCATCCGATGATTTTTTCTGTCCCACGTACATAGGGCTACGTAGCCCTGTTACCATTTTAGTGTCAATACCCGACGTAACCGATAAAGCATGAATTCTGAGTATTATTAGCATAAATGAAGTGTTATATATTCCATTCTTATTACGTGTTTTCACCAAGCATTCGATTTGTAGCTTGAAGAACGTAGATTAACCTCCTGTCATTGCAAATAATAATAAAGGACCAGAACACTGTTAAAATCGCATTTAATTGCGGAATATCACTATTTTACGACCGGTGGCGCCACCCGTGGCAATTCGCTCAAACTGCTAGCCAAATTATATCGACAGGTGAGTGAAAATTTCTAGTGATGGAAAAATGCTAATATCTCATTAATTAAGCACTTAAAATGAACGTCATTAGTCTCAAATTGTCCCTCAGGACTTAATGCATGGACCCAATAGTGCAGTACCCCTGAATTAATAAACTTAGTTATGCCTGTATTACCGTAACCTCTTACGGGCCACAACCTGATTGCAAAATATTTCGATTGCATTTACGCCGCTAAACGGGCATGATTCTTCTTCGTTTTGCATTAGATACAACGTTTAAAGAACGTAGATTACTATTCTCTAACGGCTGGACACTAGTAATTACAAGAACATTGTTAAAATC